AAAAGAGAAAGAGAGAGATAACTTCGGGTGATCAAAACAGATGGGAACCAGTTCTTTGGTGGGGGTGGTGGCTTGGTGTGTCAAGTGGTACCCCTGCTTGAGGTGTTTAATAATTCTGGGAACTTGTACAACAATGCCATAGCACCAACAATGGGTGCCTGCAAGAGCTTGGTGCATTATTCCTCCAAATGTGATCATGTGGGGCCTATTCCATCGGAGCTTGGACTGCTCTCCAGTCTACAAAGTTTTGACATTGAAGGAAACAGCCGCATGACAGGAACAATACCCTCCGAGTTGGGTTTGCTGACAAGCTTGTCTTCCTTGGATCTTGCTGGAACTTCCATTACAGGACCCATTCCACTGTCCCTCTGTGACAGAGCAGTGGATGGGACTCTGCAAATCAAAGCCAACTGCAGTCTGGTACAGTGCTGCAAATAAACTTATCTCAGGCACGAGGCCTTGCTTTTCTGTTGCACGTGAGAGCTGGATGGTTCTGGAGTTCAATCCAGCAACAATAGCAGCGGGCTGGCCTGGCTGAATGGTAGAGTCGTAGGTATCATACATTCTATACTAGCTAACTAACTACCGGTACAATAGGAATCATGTTCAAACAAGGGCTTTGCTCCGCTAGCTACTACAAGCTAGCTATCCGGACAGCCATACAGCGAACGTGATGGACTGGCGAGGTGTGCGTCTTCGCTTGAGACAGAGCGAAACGTGACACCAAAAAGGCATCGATTGATGAATCGAATCGTGATAGAAGAGCCACTTCCCTCCGCCCTCCTTCTTTAATTGTTGCTTGGATAACAGCAAGACGACAATAGACGACCATGACAAGCAACACTCCAACGACGGCGGCGGACTTGGAAATCGCGCGGGAGAATCAGGAAGTCCACATTCGGATTGTGCTGAGTTCGGAAGATGTGGATCAGATTCAAAGTATCGTGGAAAATCTGGAGAAATGGCAAGACCCGGCCGTGCGTACCATTACGCTGGTGGGATCCAACAAAGAAGACGACGATGGCCAATTCCGCCATTCCCCCGATCTTCGGGGCCTACTTGCAGCTATTGGCAATGTCATGACGAGTGTAGTGCATTTGAAATTCGAAAACATTTCCGTGGATGGTTGGACGATACCGGCGGAGCTCTTGACGGCGTTGTTCCGTAAAACATCGACTCGACTCGAGACGCTCGAGTGCACCGCTCTACAAATAGAAGGTACCAAGATGGAAATGTTGGAGTTGGAGTCTACTGTGGCAGGACTCGTTTGTCTGCGCAGTTGCTGTTTTATCAACAATTTCATTTTGTGGTTGGGAAAGGAAATGCATCCCTTGGATGGAATGCTCCAGGCGCTCAGCAAGCTACCCCTCTTGTTGGGGGTTTATCTGGATATTGACTACTTTAATGATTCCGGAGGACACGCCAGTCAATTGTCGTCCTCTGCGGCACTCAGTCCTCTCTTGGGTTCCACCAACATTCAAGAACTCATTCTCAGCAAGTTTCTACCGTCACATCCCGCGTTGCAAGAGATTGGACAACACCTCAAGACCAAAAACTATCTGCAAAATCTCACAATCTACTTCACACTCCCTCCGAATGACGAATGGAACAATCTACCCACCCTTGAATCCTCTCTCGAGTGCCTCTCGTCCGCACTATTGGTCAATACCAGTCTCCAAGAACTCAAACTACACTTGGGACACGAAGGAAAGTGTCCCAAATTAGACTCCTTCTTGGTACAGACCGCCAAGGCACTGGAAACGAACACGGCATCGGCGCTTGCAGAACTAGAGGTGATTGCTCCGTGTACGTACGGAGCCTGTGTCGAAGAAGCCTTTGTGACTACCCTGCGCACCAACTATTCTCTTCAAAAGTTGGAATGCTTTACCACTTCGGAAGATACCAGCAAGTACATTAGTTTGGATGCCGGACATCGCACGGAAATGGAACTCTATTTGCGCCTCAACGAACAAGGACGAAAGGAACTCATGACGAACAACACCCGCGATACATGGACTGTTGCTCTGGCCAAGCATTCGCACGATTTGGATGCCCTCTTTTATTACCTCCATTGCAATCCGTGGCTCATGACGCCGGGGGCGGAACGGCCCAAGACAAGACCACTGCGACGAAAGCGACGTCGTCAAGAAGAAGATGAAGAATCGCTAGAGGATGTTTTGGTGGAAGAGATTCAACGATTACGACAAGAGAATGCCACCCTCAAAGCCAGTCAACAAAAGAGACGTCGATTCTTGCGCGATGCCGCGGCCATTGTGGCAAATGTCGCCTTTCTGTGGGTAGCCACGGCAAGACGACGTTCGGGATAAGAAGAAGTGCAATATTCTCGAATCGAATCGAATTAGTTGCATGTAGGTGCTAGTAGTTTAGATGTTTCGGTTGATGCTATAGAGTAACTTTTAGCTATTCAATACCGCTGGTTGATGATAACGTTTTCGTGTGTGTTTCCCGGGATGCCCCTATCAGGTTTGCCCTACCGTGCGTGGAAAGAGGCGCCTTAAAGTTAGACCCTCCCTTTCGCTGGGCCGGTCTCATAGAAGAGCACTTCAATCTAGGATCCTCTAGCTTCGTGTGTTGGTGGGTCGGAAATATCGCCCATAACGCCGCCATCACGCAGGTCATTCGTTTCGTTTCATTTCAGATCGTGTTCAGCGGTTGTTGCTTTGACTTCAAGCGTTTTGCCACTTTGACTGCAAGCGCTTTGCCACCACTTGATCAATGCAGGCTTCAATATCGGCTTGAGGGTACCGATCTCCATTGGCATTCTTGTTTCCTGGCTTGTAGTCTTCTCGCTGAATAGTCCCATTGTGCGAACAAGGAAAGACGACTTGTTGGGAACAAGTTTGCATCACGGCTTCTTGGAGTTGGTGAAATTCCTCCAACGCCGTTTGGAAGCGTGACAATCCCAATTTCTCAATGGTTTGATCGAGACTTGCCTGAGCGGCACCCCACAATAGATAATCTCCATAGTTCTGGGCCAACCATTGCGGGGATGAAAAGTAGTTTTTCAAAAACGGCACCAACACCGTGTCGGGCTGTTCCCCCGAGAGTTTGGGAGGAGGCACCAATTCAATACATCCAGCAATCCGATCGTAGAGATAACTCCCTCCCACGTGCAATGGCATGCTGAGAATGTCGGCCGTCTCCAACCCGAGAAGCAATTGGAGTGCCACAAGAGATTCGTCCAAGCGCTCCTGAACCAGAAAAAAGTCGTATTCCTGCAGAGCCTGTTCAATGTACCCATGCACTTGGTCCGGATCTTGAACTTGAAAGGGTTGATTGGGTTTCCACGCCGATTGTGGAGGAATCACTGGAAAGCTCACATAATTGAGTTGAAATCCACCTTGTCCATTGCTAATGACACCCGTTTCAGTTTCCGTCCATCGGGTCAATGCCTGTTCCAGCAAGGCCACATCAATCCCCGCGGATGTGAATTGTCTGGTGGAGAGTGTCCACCAAATGCGACTGAGTGCTCTTGGCACTGGATCTCGCAAGGATGTGAGCAAAACGCTGTGAAACTGATGTCGATGACCATACCACGCGGCAGGATCGCCCTGTATGTGGTGTCCTCGCAAATGGCACGTTCTACCAGTCCGACCACGGACTCTAGCAATGGTTCGTTTGAGGATTCGATTAATGCTTTGCGACGCCGTTTTGGGTGTCTTGACAAAAAAGAGTCCTTGGTTTTGCGTATTGTTGCGGGGTTGCTGCAAGTATTTTTCGGGAGGATTGGCAGGACGTGGTCGACACCACCAATGGTTGTTGGTGTTGCCTTTTTGTGGTTGTTGCTTTTTGACTTGAAAGCGCTCAACCACGGATCGACCCATTTGAGCACCGGTAGCAATCATACCCTCTCGTGTCAACGGGTAGCCTGTAAAATTCACAACTGCAGGGACATACGTGTGGCCGGTCCGTTGTTCAATCTCTTTCAGGTAGTCTGGATTGCTGTTCGTTTTCTCATGGTGCTGCTGCTGATAGCGGTCATCATTGGCCATGTAGAGATGACCGGATAATGTCACATAGAAACAAGCAATGGCCACTGAAACAAGGAATAGTCTACGACGGAGGAAGTTCCAAAGCCCAGAAGAGGCAGAACCAAGACTACTAGTATTTCGAGGCTTCCCGGAGACTTTGCGAGGACTGATTCTCATGGTGGGGTAGTACCGTAGAAACCTGTCTTCTAAAGTGATTGCGGCTAACAAACTAATCAATCAATCTTCGATCCTTGGGTTCACTGCACTACGGTAGCTAAAATCTATACTTTTGACTCCATCTTGCTGCAACAAACAATACTACAAAAACCTGTGTCCCTTCAATATATATTCCTTCCCTGTAAAGCGTTGCCTTGGCATCCCATTGCCACTCCAACAGTTTGGGGTTTTGGGGTTGTCACTGTGAGAAAAGAGTGAGCGGGAAACAAATTGAAATCGCGTGTGTCATTGGCGGGAGAATGTGGCTGGCTCTGAGCCTTATTTTAACCCCAGATGACAGTATAATCGCGCATTTGCTCCAGTTCGCCATCCGCTCGCTTCGACCACCGATCTTGTCTCCGAAACAGAAGCAGACAGCAAAGTTTCTATCCAAGCTGTTTGTTGGATCTGTTCGTCCTCTTTGCTGCACTGCTGCTTCTTGTTGCCGATCTTCCATCCTTTCAGCATCGAGCTAGCTAGAGGTATTATAGAAGAGAGAGAGAGAGACATTAGACCATGTTAGAAGAGGCCCTACGTGACCCCAACAAGCACCCGGCGGAGGTTGCCACGGCAATGCTCTCCTTCATTCGTTCAGATTTGGTCAATGGAGGATCCTCGTCAGAGGAGCGGTTCTACCAGCTCTTTTTGCCACTGTGCAATCGGGTTTTTGGGGAAATAATGCAAGACAACAAGTTGGAATATAAGCACCAAGCTGGTGGGTGGCTGTCTGCCGAGCAACGGTGGAAGACTCCGGCTACCATGCAGTCGCAGCATTCTTATGGTCGGTCTGTCAAGCGATCACCACCAACAACAATCGACCAAGATCCGGTGGTGCAGCTGTTGGGGCCAGTTCCACGGTCTTCTTCAAGCAGAGTTGGCAACAAGGAAAATGAAAACTATCCCGCCCTCTCATTGATTGACACCATCTCTGAGGGCATGGCCACACGTCAAACAGGATACTTTGTGTTTCCTTTTTTGGCACTGCCCCAACCCATGCAACAACAATTTTTGGGGGTTCTCGAAAGGCGCCTGATTGGGATCACTCCCAACTCTCACATGCCCTTGAGCATGGGGCATCCTGCCGATCCAATTGCCCAGCAAGTGCTTGTCAGCCAGAATTCCAATCGGCTATTCGGATCCCTCCTACGAGTGCCTCCGGACCAGCAAAACCACATTGTGGCGTATCAACAGAAGAAGCTTCTGGCTCGGGATCAATCACAACCTCTTCAGCTCAGCCCTGGTCTTGCCTCGCCGCCGCATGCTGTTGGTTCAATGTCTCCATCAGCGGGAGCAAGAACTTCTCAACAGGAAGACGCGCCTAGTATTTATCTCAGCATGATAGAATATTACTGTTTTCTGTTCCTTCGGTACCCTATTGCGGCCCCACAAATCAACCGACAAGTTCAAACGCAGGCTCAAATCGGACGATATCACATGAGAGGAATGGTCGCCCGGAATTCTCCTCCATACGGGGAACAAGTTTACTGTGTCTTGTTCCAGCGGTACATGCGGTACTTCCTTCCTCAAACGAGGGCTCCTACTGTGTCTCCAGAGTTTTCAATGGAACAGGCAAAATCGGAGTTCTTCCTACGTTCGATCATTGCTTTTTGGTTTGAGTCACATGGCAGCCTTCTTACCACCAACAAAGCTACACAAGCGATTCTTGAGCGTTCACAAAGGACTGGAATTCATCAGACACCATCAATGGATTTGAACATGGCGTATGACCTCACAGCAGGGAAATTTGAACCAATTCCCAAGCTTTCTCAGAAGTGCCTACGCAGCCTTGTGGTTCACCTCATTACAGATCCAACCATATGCCTCTCTGTCTTTGATCAAGGCTCCATTGCTCGCGGTTGGTGTCTAAGCCAGCCCATGACTGTTGTGCAGGAATCCTTTTACAACTATGTACGGACAACCTTCCGTCATGCCTCGATCCATCATTCTGGCTCTACGTTTTACACCGCGCTGAACACTTGGCTCATTTGGATAGAGCCATGGAATGTGAACGTGCCGAAGGGGCAAAATGCTTCGGCTCGAATCGCAGGTTCTTTTGGTCGAACAAGTGCACAAAAATCTTCCTCGATTCTGATGTATCCCACCGCAGAGCGCAAGAGTGTCTACACGAATGACTGGAAGCCCTACCTGGCTGCCAACTTGTTCTTGTACACTGTTCCCCTCGCCATCTTCCTACGGCGAGCCCGTGAACTTGATTTTTCGCAGCGAGAGCTGGCTCGTTCGCGTACGCTTGTGAAACGAGTATTTCGAGTATTCACGCCTGATGTGATTTGTGCATTGAACGAACTCACGAGCTCCCTGAATCTTCAAAATCCAAGTGTTCATGCTCTGGGCCAAATGGTTGCCAATCATCACCAAAACCTTGGAGAATATTCGCCCACAAATGCTGGGGACTTGCTCCTGTCTACTTGCCAAACCGATATGCAAAGTTTGTTGGAGGAGATACACATGCAGCACCTGAAAACAGTCCAGAATCTTGGCGTACTGGACAAGTTTGAAGCCTTTCTGCAGGGACTGCTTGGTCAAGGGGTTGTTAGTGGGGATGAGATCGCAATACAATCGTTGGTCGAACGTGCCAAGGTAATCGTTGGACTTCCAATCGACTATGAAGTTGCGGCGTTGGATCCTTCCAAGGCAGGAACAACAGCCTCAGCGACCGGTGCACTCAAATCCACGGCGTTGCGTGACGCTCAAGGGTATCTTACAGCAGAAGGGCGAAAGCAACTCATTGCAGGGAATTTGAAACTGAGTCCATCAGACGTTCATTTCATTGGTGATCGGATGCGAGCACGTCGAACCAGTCATGAAATTCCTATCCTTGTCCCCGTCACCATTGCTATTTCGGACTGGCTCAACAATAAGCTTGGACGAGACAAAGCAGATGGAGTCCACGTCAACCTGCGCTTTTTTGCGGACTATCGCAATCTCCTTTTCATTTCCTTTGGTTTCTTCGCGCTTCGGGTTGCGATGTCTATCTTTGCCTAGACTTGGTACTGTAGATGGAAATTGTTCCCTCTGCTATAGTATAGCCCCCATTTAGCTACAAGGTAAACTAAACTAAAATACTGGTCACCCAAATTCCACCTTACCCCCTCTCTCAATCCCCTCCAGCCCCCGAGCTCTTGCGCTGTCATCTTTCCATCCGTTGCTTGTTCAAAAGTGCTACTACTGCTACCGGTATTATTGACATACTTGTCACTGATGTGGACTGTGCCTCCTGCGACGGGATACAGCTTACAATTCAGCTTTACAGCTTTACAATTAGCAGGCTTATTCTAGAAAATAATCA